CTCCTCCCCCAGAACCACAAGTTTGGAGCATCTGGTCCCCGTCAGCACAGTGGGCAGAGGGAGGGGCCTGAGGGTTGTGTTTGGCTTGCAGAGGACAGAGTTGTCTGTGTGTGGCTTGGGGTGGCAAGGACGGGCTAGGACTCAGGGCAGCAACTGTCCTCTAAACACAGCCTCATCTTGCCTCACCAGTGGCCATTGTACAGATGAGGAAACTGAGGCCAGGAGGAGCCAGGACCAGCCTGGGTCACAAGACCATAAGGAGTCTCCTGCCTCCTTCTTGGCTACTCCTTCCCATCTTTCAAGTCCTGGGCTGTGCCTCCGGGAAGCAGGCCACACCCTGCTGGTGGCAGAGCAGCCCTGCTGGGAAGTCCTCCTTAGAGTCAGACCTTCACCCAAGGTTCCCGGGTGTGGGTGGTGCAGAAGTTCCTCTCCTCGGGGCCCTCGTGGCTGCCTCGTGCCACCTCTAGCCTGGGTTGGGGCATCGGTGCCCCCATCTGTGCAGCTGGGCTGGGGTCTGTATTTAGGGCACCAGCATGCAGTGATGGGTTCATGTCCGTGTGGATACTCGTGTGCCCTGGTGGGTGAGCTGCAGCCCATGGGCCTGCCATGCCGGACCGGGTCCCCAGACCTGTTGCACAGCAACATTTGACCTACTTCTAAGGCTCTGGGTCTGGCCCAGGCCGCGTTCTCGACTCCTCCGGGAAGTGTGGGCCTGCATCCCAGCCCAGAGGCTGTGGGCCAGGAGGGGCGGTCCGGGGAGGGCCAGGGCGGCCTGCAGAACCTGTGGCCTGGGGGACAAGGACACGTGGGGAGCTTGACCCTGCTTCCCTGCCTCTGGCTCCGGGGCCCAAGGGACAGCCAGACCCCACCCGTCCCTCCCTTCCCTCGCTCCTCCATGTGGCCACCATATTCTGAACTCCCCAACTTGGAATGGCTCTGACAGGGTGAGGGACAGGCCTCACGCCCCCTGGACACTGCAGGAAGGTCTGCCACGCACTCACTGCTGTGTTTACCAAGACTCTACCCCTCCATCCTGTCCCACCCTCGTCTACAAAGCAGAGGGCAGTGCCAGTCTGGAAAGCCTGCAGTTCCTGTCCTGGGTCCTGGGTCCTGGGTCTGAGTCTGGGTTTGTGGGCCTGGAGTCTCGGTCTACAGTCCTGGGGCCTGGGGCCTGGGGCCTGGGTCTGGGTCTGGGTTTAGTGCCCTGGGGCCTGGGCCTAAGGTCTGGAGTCTGAGTTTGACGTCCTGGGGTTGGGAGTCTGAGTCCCTAGAGTGGGTTCTGATCTTGAACTTCGGGTTCTAGGTTCTAAGTTTGGGCTTTGGATCCTGAGACCTGAGTCTGGGGTCTGGGTTTGGGGTTCCAGGTTCCAGGTCTGGAGTTTGGGGTCTGGGTAGGATCCTGCCTTCTGGGTTTGGGTTCAGGATCCAAAGGCCAGTTCCTATCCCTTCTACGCCCCCTGCTGGCTGCCCATCACGGTGTCTCACTGCCCGAACCACAGCTCACCCCACCTCTTCGGGCTGTTGAGAGGACTTTCGGTCGAGGGGGAGAGTGGCAGGAAGGGCAGCCCGGGCCAAGGCAGCGACAGGTGAGATTAAGGGCAGCTGTGGGCTGCACTGCTGTCCCAGGACCCCGCTCAGGCCAGAACGCTTGCCAGCCAGCAAATCCCTTCTCCGTTTCCCCTCGCCCCACCCCACGGATGGGGTTTGTCTAGGGGTCCTAGTCCCCCGTGGGAGGCGGGTAAGTTGAGATGTTTGGGACATCTGCTCATGCGACATGTGTGCAGTGCCTACTGCATACCGGGCTCTGTTCTGGACTCGGAACAACAGTTCCTCCTCTGCCAGCTGATACTCCTGGTGGGCTGCTCACAAGGTAACGAAGAAACGCGCTCCTTTAGGGTATGCAGGGATGGAGAGTCAAGGGGAGAGACAGGGCAGAGGGAGCAGGCCCAAGGTAGTCTGGGGAGGCTTCTCAGAGGAGGCGATGTCTCACTGAGACCCGTGGGTGATAAGGAGCCAGCCAGGACCAGGGTCTCACAGAGGATACCCGGGAGAGGAAGCAGTCTGTGCAAAGGCAGGGAGGCGGGCGAGAACCTGGAAGGAGCCCTGGCCGGTTTTGCTCAGTGGTTAGAGCATCGGCCCGCAGACCATCGAGTCGAGGGTTTGATTCTGGTCAAGGGCACGTACCTCGGTTGTGGTTCGTCCCCGGCCCTGGTTGGGTCATGCAGGAGGCAGCCAGTCAATGTGTCTCAATCACGTGGATGCTTCTATCTCTCTCTCTCTCTTCCTCCCTCCCACTTTATCTGATAATAAGTAGAAAAGTACTCTCTGGCAAGGAATAAAAACAAAAGAATCTGGAAGGAGGACAGTGTGGCCTGAGATCTCCTGCCTCTGTTCAGGGACTCCCTAGAAATCAGGACCCACATCTCCCCAGCATTCCCCTTGGCTGTGGGGAGGGAGAGGTAAGGTGGCTGTCCCCAGAGCAGGCTCTAGAACGGGCCACCACCTGGACACTGGAGCTGGAAGGGCCAAAGGGGTAGGGTCCAGGCCCAGGCCCAGGCCCATGCCCAATCTCCTTGGCTCTCCAGGAGCGCCAGGCCCTGCCAGGATCCTGCCTGCTGGGTTGTTGTTCCTGAAAACCATGGAGCTCAGGCTGGGACCTGGGGGAGAGATGAGAACCAAGCCTTGGTGTGGCCTGTCCTTGCTGCCCCTGCCCACCTTCCCTCTCTCGACGTGCCGCCTTCCCGGTCTACCTGCCTGCCTGCCTGCCCACCCCCTGCCCTGCTCCTGGCCTCAGCAGCCAGTCCCGATGGCCGTCCTGGGGCTGGGCATCAGTTCTAGTTTGAGAGGGGGCCTGTGGGTAAGCATCTGAGCCCTGGGTGATGGAGAGTGGATGATGGTTCTGTGCATGGCGTCCCCACAGTGGGACCACATCTGCCCTGTGCACGAGGGAGAGGCACTAAGACACCCCTCTCCATGACCCCCCACAGCAAAGGAAGGTGGCGCTGAGTGGCTCTCACTGGGTGTGAGCCTGCCCACCCCATCACAGAACTGGCCCTAGAGGCCCACGTCACTCACCCACTGCTGCTCAAGCTGACATCGGGTGGTTTCCAAGGGATGGCAGTGTGTGTGAACACAGTGAGGTGGGGAATCCGGGGGACCCTGTGCACATCCTCTGCCCTGGACCTCAGTTTCTCCGTGGGGAATGGAAGGGGGCTGGGTAGTGTTTGTTGGCAGTGTTGGCGGGGACTGGAGCCCCTGTGAGATACCCAGGTCAGTTGTCTGGAGGGTCAGACAGCCTGGGCGACGGGGTGGGCTGCCCCAGGCCTCCCTCTGTGTGTCCCCCTCTGGCTGCCTTCTGTGGTATTTCTGGCTCATCTCTGTGGACCCTCTCCACCCCTTTCTTTCTCAATAGTCTTGCCAAACATCTGGAAGAAAAGTGAAAAACTTGCCTCCCCCCAGCACCGGATGTTGTCAGATTTCCAGATGTAGGGTGTTCTGCCCTCCAGATGAGGGGAGGAATGTCCTGTGTCCCAGCTAGGAGGGGCTTGGCCCCATCTCTGGACTGCTGTCCCCCTCACCGGAGGCTGAGCCACAGAATGAGAGACCTGGGCCCAGCAGGTGACAGTGCGGGCACCCAGGCAGAGGGCAGGTGGCTCCTCCTCTCGGGCTCCACCCCAGCTCCACACTGGGCACATCCCCAGCGGGGGCCATTGGCTCTGAAGTTTCTATCAAAGGCTCCGGCACTTAAAAATAACAAGGCCCACCTCCTTCCCATCCCAGCACAGATGCTGGGCGAGGAACGGAGCCCCGTGTGTCTGTGAGACGTCCCCACTCGGAGTTCTGTGCCAGGAAGGGCCTCACGCCGCCTCAGCCTTCCTGTCCCCACATCCCCAAATGGTGGCCCAGCCAGGCTGCGCTCTGTCACTGCTGCCTGCTGCGGGCTGGGCACTGTACGGTGGGCGCCGAGGGTAGGAACTAGGGGGGAGCATCCTGAACTGGGTAGCAGGGGGCAAAGCTCACCTAGCCCCCTGAGGGCCCATGGAGAGGCAGACTGTCCCAGGGTCCCCCAAAAAGGTTGGCAGAAGGAAACGTGGGGCGCTGGGAGCAGTATCCAAGAGAGCTTCCTAGAGGGGGGGCAGTGTGGTTGAGCCTTGAATGTACCAAGCAGAGGAGAAGCAAGGACACTCCTGCAGAAGGTCAGCGGGGACAAGGGTCTGGCGCGGGGCAGACCACGGTGCGTGGGGAGCGTGGGGCTGTGGAGGAGGCCAGTCAGGTGCATGTGGCTGTTTAGCTGTTGAACTGAGCTGGGCCACCGCCCTCAAGGATGAGGTGCCCATTCTACTGCCTCGTGGGGTGTTCTCCAGGACCCCCAGACTCATAGCTGCCCGAGGGCTGTGACACTCACACCACACCCAGGAACACCCAGAAACACCCAGCCTGCACCAGCCGCCCGCACAGACGCGGATGCCGCCACATGGGCCCCACGCCTCAGACAGCAGAGAACACACGCAGCCCCGCCCCTCCCCCCCAGACACAGGCGCCGCCCCCACCCGCACACAGGACGGTCCTCCGCCTCGCTCTGCCTCTGCCGGCAGGCACCTGGGAGGGCACAGGTGGGCGTGTGACTGAGGCCCTAGGTGGTCACCTGCGTCCACTCAGCACAGCGCGTGCACTTGTCCAGCCTCCCGCGCTGTCGGAGGCACTGGCCCTGGAGGGGCGGCCCAGTGCGTGTGCATTTGAGGGTGTGCTGGGTGCGGGGCAGTCCTCTCTCCTCCCCTCCCCCTCCTCCTCAACAGGTGATTGGGAGGAATGGACAGCCCTCCCTCTCCCCCACCCGTTCCTGAGCCTGAACAATGCCCTCCCCAGACCCCAAAATAGACCCTGAGCCTGGCCAACATCCTTTTATGGCCCTGTCCCTATTGTGCACTGTGGGGGTGGGGCAGGGGGCATGAGGTGTCCAGACAGGATAAAGGCCAGGGGCGGGAGGCTCCCCTACCCTGTCTCTGCTTTCTTCTCTCCGCAGCCCTCTCTGTGCTTACAGCCCCCATGGCCCCCAAAAAGCCAGAGCCCAAGAAGGAAGAGGCCAAGGCAGCCCCCAAGGCAGCTCCAGCTCCCGCTGCCCCTGAGCCTGAGCCCCCCAAGGAGAGCGAGTTTGATGCCTCCAAGATCAAGGTGGGTGTAGGAGCTGGGTTTTGGCAGGAAGGGCAGGTAAGTGCCTCCCAGAATGGACCGACCCAGTGACAGGCCAGGCTCCAGAAAGAGCAGTGAGCTGATGCTGGAAGCTTCTGTGTACAGGTCAGAGGAGCTGGGGTCTTCAGGCATCAGGAGGGCTACAGCGGGGGAGGGGCAGACGTCAGAGGACGCCCCCAGTGCTGCTGAAGGGAACGTCCTTTGGTGGTTTTGGAACCCACACTCCCTTGCTCTTCTCCCTGGACCTCACTCACATCCTTGGGGGATCCTGGAGCCGCCTGCCCCCAACCCTGCAGCCAGACAGGGACCCTCCCTGGCTCTCACCGTGGCCTCTGCATAGCGGACAGACTACCCTGGATCCTCCCTGTCCCCTGTTCTTGGCCGGCTCCCAGCACCTCGCTCCACAGGCACCTACCTTGTCCCCCGAGACACGGGTTCGAAGGCCTTCCCTGCTCTGAGGCTTGGTTTTCTCAGCTGTGGAGCGTGCAGTACACCCCTTGAAGACTGCCGGGAACCTTTCACGAGTGCTCCTGGGAGTTGGCTGCCTGACCCCCGCCACCCCTCAGTCCCAGGCTTGTGTCCCACAGGCCCCCTGGTGAGGGGCCGACCGTCCGGGACCCATGGTGCCATTGTCCAGTCTCACTGGATCTGAGGTTGGCACACACTCCCCTCCAAGAGGAGGGGACAGTGAGGCCCCTCATGTGCCCCCTGCCCCTCCCACTCGGGCTGGCTGGCAAAGGGCAAGGCTTTGCCAGGAGCCCAGGGAGGCTCATGTCAGCAGGCTCCCAGGTGGACAGAGCTCTCAGGGGCCGGGGGACCTCCATGGCAGGCTGGCGGGGGCAGGGTCTCCCCCACTGGGGTGCACCTTGGAGGTTGGCAGCCCCAAGGGAGCAGCCGAAGACGAGGTGCCAGTCATGTCCCCCTCCCCCAAGCTCCTTTCCCTCCTGCAACCTTGACCTTGGGGCAAGTGACTGCAGTGATAAAAATAGACCTGGTATCAGGTGAGGAGGGGGAGACCAGGAGGAGACTGGGTCCCGGGAGGCCTTCTGACCTCAGGTGGCCCTGATGTCGCCTCAGCAGCACCACCCTGGCTCTCTGCTATGCTGCGGGTGAGGGGCTGCCCTTCCCTCATGGATGGGGGGTGCAAGACCCAGGTGTAGGCAGGGCCCTGTGAGTGCCAGTGCGCAGCCTTGAGGGCTCTGTGAGGGACGGACACATGCACACACGGGTGTGAATGCACATAAACGCACACCTGTGCACACACACACACATCCTGCTGAGATGAGCCCTTCCATCTCACTCACGTGGCCAGTCCTGCCCACTGGGCCCAGGCATGGTGGGGTGGCAAAGCCAGTCTGGTCAGGTCTGTGGCCTCAGGCACATACGTCCAGGACCAGGGACATCAGGTAAGGCCCACTCTGAACTGGGGACTCAGGGCACCAGGCCTCCCTCCTCACCACATCCCCCAGGTGTTAGGGTTCAGGTACACTCAGAACTACGGCCCTTGGGGTGGGCAGGTGAGGAGGGGTTAGGAGGCAGGAGGGTGTCAAGGTAGACAGCAGGGGCGCTGGGCCATGACAGCTGGGATCTGGACAGATGGGACAGCTGGAGGTTGAGGCCCGGGGCTGACCACAGAGCGCCCAGGAGGCCTGGCCTCACCCTCTGAGCCAGGCACTCAGCGTCTTTGGGGTCTCCTTTCAGATCGAGTTCACGCCGGAGCAGATAGAAGGTGAGTGGGGATCTGGGTACGGGGGGCTGCAGGGCTGGGCCTGGGGTTCTCGGCCGGCAGCAGTGAGGTGAGTGGGGGTGAGGGGTGGGCGCACTCTGGGAGTGTCCCTAGCTCACATCTGTTCCCCAGAGTTCAAGGAGGCCTTCATGCTGTTCGACCGCACGCCCAAGTGTGAGATGAAGATCACGTACGGACAGTGCGGGGATGTTCTGCGGGCGCTGGGCCAGAACCCCACGCAGGCCGAGGTGCTCCGTGTCCTGGGGAAGCCAAAGCAGGAAGGTTGGACATCCGGCCTGAGATCTCCCCTTAGTGCCAGTTCCTGGGGAGACCAGCAGGGTGGGCTGCCGTCTGTGGTGGGACAACACGGGAACCTCCCTGCTGTGCACTTTCCCGTTGTCCGGATGAGGACAGAGGCTGGTCTCGGGAGACTGACACCGTGCCGGGCAGAGCGGGTTTGCTGTCCCCCCTGGCCCCATGCTGATGAACCAGGCCTCCTGGTCACAGGGGACTGAGGACAGGGCGGACTAGCTGCAGTGGCCGGTGTGAGGGCAGCCAGGGTGCGCTCTGCCTCTCCTTGCCCCTTGGCACCTCTCTGGTTAGGGCCCACCAGCTTCCCTGGCCACACTGGCCGAGTGGGTCCTGCTTTGCCCCGAGGAGGAGTGGTTTGAGTCGCAGGGAAGGTTCAGAAGCTCCAGGGAGGGCCTCTACTGGCTCAGCTGCTCCTGCCAATCAGGTGGCAGGTGAGGGTCTATAAGACGACCACACCAGCAAGGACTGCTTCCCAAAGCGGAGCAGGTGCTGGACAGGGCCCGGGCGCTGCCCCTGCAGCAGACGCTCCTCGGAACAGCACAGGCTGCGGAAAGAGCGTTTCTCTTGACTGAAGTGCCCCGTGATGGCGGAGGGCTTCGTGGATGCCAGACTGGCGTGGGGTGCTTTGGGAATGTGTGAGGGCAGTAGCTTCTCACTGTAGGCTCAGGGAAGGTCTGCCTGGGACCATCTCTCCACAGACCTTAACACTAAGATGATGGACTTTGAGACGTTCCTGCCCATGCTCCAGCACATCGCCAAGAACAAGGACACTGGCACCTACGAGGACTTCGTGGAGGGGCTGCGGGTCTTCGACAAGGAGGGCAACGGCACGGTCATGGGCGCCGAGCTCCGCCACGTGCTGGCCACGCTGGGTGAGGGAGCCCTCACCCCGCTCCTCCTCGGGGGGTGGGGGCATCCTAGGAGCAACCACTTTGTCGCCACCCCCAGGCCCGTGTCCCATTTAAATGGAGAGTGACATAGTCAGGCACCTCTATGGCAGGTGTCAGAATGTGGGGGATTTAGGAGTTTAGGTGGGGGTGGAGGAGGTGTGTTGGTGCAGCTCACAGTATCAAGGGAGATGGGGCAGCTCTGGGCTCAGGGAGGACCAAGTCATGCTCCAGGAGGATCAGCTCAGTCCTGGGGTCATTGCCTCAGGTCAAGATCCAGAGCCACGTTCTCTGAGTGGCCGAGTAGGTCACATGCCTGCCTCTTGGGCATCCTGACTCCCCACTGTCAGGTGCCTGGCTGGCAGGGGTGCCCCCTTTTAAAAGAGACTTCCCTACAGCAAATGTTTATTGAGCACCTATTGTGCGCGCAGGCCTGTGCTGGTCCCCAGGGTTGTGTGTGTGTGGCTGGGGGTGGAGAACCGCAGCCGGCACCCCTGTGAGGGGGTCAGCACACACGGCACAGCGCAGACAGGGAGGGACAGTGCTTGACCGCCCGGGGTTACAGTGGTCCCCTCCATAGTCATCCCCGCCCCGGGTTCCCCGCTCTACCCCTGCCAGCCTACTGAAGACAGAGGAGGGGACATGCTGGTGACTTGAATACCAAGGTGGCACTGTTATGGACAGAGCCTAGGCTGCACCCCAGGCCCTGCCTTTTTGACTTGTCACTGGTTCTCCTGGTCTCAGAATGAGGGTTGTGGCCAAGGCCTCGTGAGCCACGGTGGCCATGCCAACATGAGGTGTGGGGATACTGGAGAGGCCAAGCCACCACGCAGAGGGGCCCGATGTGTCCTACCCTCCGCTCCTCTGGACGGTGCTGACTCGGCCGCCCACTCCGCCAGGTGAGAGGCTGACAGAAGATGAGGTGGAGAAGCTGATGGCTGGGCAGGAGGACTCCAATGGCTGCATCAACTATGAAGGTGGGCTCGGAGGGCTGCAGGTCTTCTGCGGGGCATGGGCACCACCCTTGGCTGCCCAGGGCCGAACCCCTCTCCATCACTCGCCCCTTCTTTCCAGCATTCGTGAAGCACATCATGGCCAGCTGAACCTGTCACCCCAGGTGAGACTCCCGCTTCCTCTCACCCTGCTGCCACCTCTGCTGACCTCAGCTGTGTCCCTCTCATGCCTCTGTCATCCAAATTCTCGTGTCCAGCTCCCCACTGTCACCCACTCCAGTTCTCGATGGAAATCCTGCCGCCTCACTTGGCTCCTTCACTGTAACCTGTGACCCTTTGCTCTCAGGGAGCCCGGGGAGGCCACGCTGGGGACAGCGCTGGTGTGGATATCAGTGGTCTGCAGCTGCAGGAAGGCTCCTGACCAGCTCTCTGCGTGGCTGTTGCCTCCGGTCCCTACCAGGCTGCATGTTCCTGTGACTGCATCTCTGTCCCCACCCCGTGGGCCCCACGAATAAATGCCTCTTTCCTTCCTTCCTCCTTCCGTCTCCTTCCTCCTTCCTCCTGTCCTTCTTCCTTTTGCTCTGTCCTCTCTGTGGCCCCTTGGTTGACGTCCGTAAACCCTATAGGCCAGTGAGCCCTGGACGAAACAAAGGGAGTCCCTTTGAAATGCTGCTCCCCCGGTCAGAACCGCCCCATTGAAACTCATCCGATCAAAACTGTCCCATCTGGTGTCCGCCCTGGGAGCCTGCCCATCGAGACAGGGAGGAGGGGGCCTGCGTGTCCTCCCTTGCTCTGCCCTCCCCTTCCCCTCTGGAGACGGCCACCGTGCTCTGCCCTCGTACAGAGAGGCCACGGCCGGAGCTGTCTCACTCCACACCAGCCACCAGGGAACCATGGGCAGCGGCCCAGAGCCGCCCATGACACTGGTGGGGAAATTGAGGCCCAGAGCGGAGAGTGGCCTGGCCTGAATCACAGCAGGAATGGGTGGCAGGTCAGGAGCCAACTTTATCCCAGGCTACCAGAGCTGAAGAGGCCTTAGAACCCTGTCTGACTCAGATGGGGGAAACTGAGGCACTCTGAGGTGTGGCTCCAGGCCAGAGGAAGAGGCCTTAGTGGGGCAGCATCCAGGGTCGCAGTGGGTTCTCAGCCCTGGGCTTCTCAGCAGAAGACAAGCAAGCAGTACCCAAGTGTGCGGTACAGGAGAGACGCACACACCTTGCAAACCTCTCCCCCCCCCCCCCCGCCACACCCTGTTCGTGGGCCAGGGCCCCTCCCCTCCCCTTTCGGGGAGCCCAGTGGAGAGTGAGGGGAGGAGTCCTAGAGGAAGGGGTACTGGAGTTCAGTGGGAGGAAGAGCAGTGCCCTGCAGAGAGGCTGGCCCTGGATGGGGGGCGGGGTATGAAGGGTTGTCAGAATTAATTGAGCACCTACTGTGTGCCAGGCTTTGTTCCAGGCCCTGGGAACACTGCGGTGGAGAAAGCAGTCAAACCTCTGCCCTCCAGAGCTCGCACAGACCTGACGAAGAGCTAAGCATTAAGCATGTCAACTAGAGATAAAGGCTGAGGAGGAACCCAGAGTAGGGAAGGGGCTGTGTAGTCAGTGTGCATGTGTGAGAAAGGGAAAGAGAGAGAGAGAGAGAAAGGAAGAGAGAGAGAGAGTTGGGAGGTGTCGACATGTTCAACAACGAGGCTAGTAATTATCTGAGAAGCTAATAGTTGGACAAAGATTTAAGAGGAGATAATATCCAGAATATATAAAGAATTTCTATAAGCCAACCACAACAAAATGAGCAACCCAATTAAAAGGATCTAAATAGACATTTCCCACAGAAGGTGTACAAATAGCCAATAAGCACATAAAAAGATGCTTAACGCTAATCATTAGGAAAAATGCTAATGAAAACTACAATGAGATAACATTTCACACCCATTAGGGTGGCTATTACCCCAAACCCAAAAAATAATGACGTGTTGACACAATGTAGAGAAATTGGGACCGAGGGCACTGCTGTAAGATGCTGTAGCTGCTGTGGGAAACTATGGAGGCCCCCCAAACCCTGGCAGAGGTTCCCGCATGACCCAGCAGGTGGCACTCAGCTGCAGGGCGAGGGTCTCTCCTGGGCTGGTGGAACGTGTGTTTCTGTGTGTTTGAGTGTGTCTGAGTGTGCATATGTCCACAGTGTGCCTGTGAATGTGAGTGCCCATGTGTATACGCTTGTGCATGCGTGTGCCCACTTGTTTGTGCATGTGCACACGTGTGTTATCTCCATGTGCATGCGTGTGTCTGTGCATTTGTCTGAGTGTGTACGTGCTGGGGACTCTGCCGAGTCAGCGCTGGTGCTGAGCGGGCGGCACTGCCAGCCAGGCTGTGGCCTCCCCGCAGTTGCATAAACACTGGTCCCAGCTCCCCCCTCAAGCAGGGTGGTCCAGCCTGTGGCCCTGAGGCTGGTGGGAAGTGGTGGGAGGGGTCAAGGAGTTTGCCCTCCTGTCAGTCTGGTCCCTTCCATACTGAAAGTGCCAGGTCCCATGTCCCTTGAGGTTGGGGTAGTCTGGGGTCTCTCTACGGCCTCACTTCCTCCATCTGGCCTGAGGTCTGATCTCTGAGGTCTCTCCAGTCCTGGGCCAGCCTGAGCCAGGAGGTCAGTGCAGCAGCCAGGGGGCTCGGGCCCAGGGACACAGTTCAGCTTCAGGACCCCAGGACCCCAGGACCAACTGTCTCTCCTCTGCTCTGACATTCTTGCACGGATGCCTATGGCTCTTGGCAGCCGGCCACACCCTGTATCCTCTCTCCAGGCGCCATCCACAGTGACACTGGGTCATCGCCCGGACCCGGGTCAGACAGCACGAGTGGGGAGCCAAGAAGGCCAGAAATGCAGGCCGAGGCAGGGTCTCGAAGACATCACGTACTGCAGGGAAATCTTATCAGGTCACCGGAAGGAAAGAAATCAGACTGCGGGTGTGAGAAATTGGACTCTAGGGCTCAAAGCACAGCCGCAGAGGGCGGGCGAAGCTGGAAAGGGTCTCAGGAGAAACGAGGGGTTGGAGTAGAAGGGACCTAGCAAAAGAGCATATGAAATCAGAGGGGCATGGAGATGGGGGGGGAGGGGAGAAATTGGGCTGCAGAGTGACAGGCAGCCCTCGGGCGGCAGAAGTGGGTGCTGCGGGTCCCAGGAGGGAGTGCTCTACTGTTGGTCCTCAGGCCTTGGGAGGGTGAAGGGGAGGGTGCAAGGATGAGCTGCCTGGGTACAGGGCCAGCCATACCCCAGGGCAGGCTGACCCAGGCACCTCAGAGAACAGCAGGAAAACCCCAGACCTTGAACCTGGCGACCCAGCACAGAAGTGGCTCCCTAGGGTTCTCCCAAGTCCTTTCCAACAAGCCCCAGGCCTGCCCTCGCCCAAGCTTGGGGGTTATTTGTTCCCACCCTCCCAAAGCCACACGATCCTGGTTTGCCCAGATGCTGACAGAGCACAGCAGGAATGTGGAGTGTGAGTGAGTGTGCCGCCAACAAACAGGCCTCCCGCCCCCGCAGCCAGGGTCCCCTGGACGGGGAAGGGTCTGAAGGTCAGGGCTGGGGAGGTCCCCTGCCAGGCCTCCCCTCCCCAGCCTGGCTGAGGATGCTTGAGTCTCCACCATTTTCTTCCGATGTTTGATTCCTTCTCCGACTCGCGGTCCAGGTACCTCACACGTCCACTGAGGCCTTGGTGACAAGGGCTGCATCGGGGGCTTTCGGGAGGGCTGGGAGGACGGGATCAGGCAGCTTGAAGTTTGGAACTCCAGAGATGGGGAGACACTGCCCCCTGAGAAGTCTCAGGTCTTGGCCAACTTTTTGATTTTTATACTTTGATCCAGCTGAACGTGATCACCCGTCCCCCTCAATTCTTGTGCCCCAAGTCTGCAGGCTTCGCTTTCCCTCCCATCAGCACCTCTTCCATCTCATTCCCCTCCTGGTCTCGTTCTCTCCTCTCCGTGGGGCTTGGGAGCCACTTAAAGGTGCTCTACAATAATAGCCCCAGCTCCCAGCTAACTGGGACAGGTAGTGAGAACCCTGTTCCAAGGGGTGTACAAGCAGAGATGAACCAATTTGTCAGGAAGGCTGCAGAAGGGGTTCTTGCTCTGGTAGAGCCTGGAAACACGTGGGCATCCCCAAGGCCCAGGGCCCCACCTGTGAGTTTTCATTAGAAAAATAGGGCCCACTTGTGTGTTTCTATGAAGCTCGATTTACGCATCTTCAAGGCCTGCCTTTCTCCTGAGATCACATCCTGCCTATTTTTTTTTTGCCTTGAGAATATCCTTTGTTTACAAAACAATGGTGGGGATAGCTGGTGGTTGCTGTTTTCCATGTATTTGGCAAAATAAAACCTTACAAGTCAATTTTTTAAGTTTTGAGGAAATTTCAGTTTGTTGCAATCAACATCTCCCCAAAGCCTTGGATAGAGATCCTTGAAAGGGGCAGATCATTTCCAGGCCCAAGACTCATTTGAATCAACCCGTCCGTCCGTCCGTCCATCCATCCATCCATCCATCCATCCATCCATCCATCCATCCATCCATTTATCCAGCCAGCCAGAGGGCTCTCCCAGAAGCTTCAGGGGTGCCCTTTGCATGGCCCGGCCTGAATGGAGAGGCCCTGGGCTGAAGTCCCCAAGAGGGTGACACTCAGACGTCACATCTCTAGGCTGAGACAGCTCTGGGCAAGGGAGGAGCTGCTCCCTCTCAGGCACACAGGCTCTGTGCAGTCCGTGTCCCATGGGGTGCCTTCCTTGTAGTAAGGGGGCTCCCTGGGGGGTACACCTGGAGGTGTGGGCAGGCTCTGGGTACCCGGGCTTGCTGTGGATGGTGAGAACCCTCCAGGGCCACTTCACAGGACACCTGCTGTCCTCCTGGGCACCTGAGGACCCAGCAGTCAAGCGCCATACCTGGGGTGGCCCTGCCTGGCTGTAGGGTCAGCAGAAGCAAGATGGTCACAGAGTGTCAAGAATGACTTCCATGCTCTGGCCAGTTTGGCTCAGCGGTTAGAGTGTCAGCCCACGGACCGTAGAGTCCCGGGTTCAGTTCCCGCTAAGGGCACGTACCTCAGTTGCAGTTTATCCCCGGCCCTGGTTGGGGTCGTGTGGGTGGCAACCAGTCGATGTGTGTGTCTCTCTCTTCCCCCCTCTCTCCCTCCCGCTCTATCCGAAGATACATACATGTCCTCGGGCGAGGATTAAAAAAAAAAAAAAGAGTGACCTCCAAACCCAGTTCCCAGTACCCCCAGGTTGCCTGCCCCACTGTGGGTTTCCCCTGCCGTCAGAGTCTCTCATGGAGGTGGAGGCCCTGACTCGTGCGGGCTGCTTTCTACCCCCACCCCTCTGCGTAGGACCAGGCCGGACCCCAGTCACTCCTCAGTCCACAGCGACTGCTCTGGTCACCAGCGCTTCGGCAGGTGCAGGACATCGCAGCCACCCGACAAGGAAGACGTCTCGGTCAGGTCCTGCTCTGGCCTCGGCCCAGCTCCCAGTGCTCTGTCCTTGTGCCTTGGCCTGTGCTTCCAGACCTGTC